TTTAACTCTTGTCAGGAAAAAGCAAATCATTGGTAGTAGGCATTCAGATATTTATAGACACATATTTGTATTTATAGCAGCTCAGTGTCCATCAATGGATGAAGAGTGAACAAAATGGGACAGACATACATAGGGTGGAAGATGATTCATCAGGAACTCCCAACACACACTACAATGTGGATGAACCACAAAGACATTGTGCTCGGTACAGTGACCTGGTGTAGAAGGGCAATGACTCCATCATATGATGTACCCAGAGTAGAGAGAGATGGTGGAAGGGTGGTTTTCAGAGGGTGAGAGAAGAGATCTGGGTAGTTCCTGTTTGGTGGGTTCAGAGTTTCTCTGGCAAAGGTGAGAAGCCCTGGAGGTGGGTGGTGGTGATGGCGCCCTGCAAAGCCCGTGTTCTCAGTGCGTTCGTTCCCTGCACTTGCAGGACCGCCAAAGGGTTAAGATGGTACTTCTTGTGTCTATTTCACCACAATTTTAAGAACTAAGTAGACAGTATCCAGAAACCTTTCCCTGTCTTCTCATGCACACCATCCTCCCTCCTATCTTGTGCAGCAACCCCTCTTCTAGCTGTTTGCATTTCAGTGCAGTTTTACCATAAAGGCACGAATTCCCAAACAACCTAGTTTCGAAACCTTAAATAAGTAGAATTTATGTGTCTGTTTTTGCTCAATATCATTTCCATGTTGTTCTTAGCTGCCGCTGATTTTCAATAGGATTTTATTGTATGAGTATGTGACTGTTTTGGTAGGCACTGCATTATTTCATTTCTTACTATGGTGAACAGCACTGCTGTTACCACTCTGGTATTTTCTAGTGTTCACATGCACTGGTTTCTAGGATATACTACCAGAAGTGAATTACTTGGATCATAGCACATACCCACCTTCCACATAGATGCAATGCCATCTCTTCTCCAAAGGACTTGTACCCGTGTACATTCACACAAGAAATTTCCCTCAGCTCTGATATTCCACACCCTATTCTTTGCCAAGTGTGGTCAGTCCTTGTATTTTTTGCCAACCTCTTGTTAATTTCCATTTCCTGGATTATAAATATGGCTGAGTAATTTTCCAAGTTTTGGGCCATTTTGTTTCTTTTATACTATGCCTATTTCAAGCATTATTTTTTATTGAGTTTATTTTTTTCTTGCTTGCTGATTTGCAGGAGTTCATTCTGAATGTGAGCTCTTCGTTTATTAGATGGCTTGGATATATACTTCCACAGTTTGCTTTTTTACTTTCTTTCACAAATGGATGTTCTTAATTTCGGTGTAGTCAAGTGCAATCAGCATTTTCAACCTTGTTCTAACCCTGAGGTCAAGTAGATATTCCTCTACGGTGTCTAATAAAAGTCTTGAATTTTTGCCTTTCATATTCTGATCTTTATTCATCTGGAGCTGATTTTTTTTTTTTGCACTTCATGCACAGTGAGGTCTAATTGTAGCCTGACTAAAATAATTTGGGTTCTGTCTTTAGCAATGTCTTCAGAGTCCTTATCGGAGAGATTGGGCTATCCGCAGTAACACGAAAACAGTGAAAACACTGTTATTTTTATAGAAGTTATACACATTTATTTCAAACTATTCCAAAAGGGAAGAAGAGTCTAGAACAGTGAAGGTGTTCCAGGCTTTGCTACCTGCCCACCCAAAATGCACCCTCAGGCTGACTTCTGCTTACAGTTGATATGTAAGCTTCTAGATCTTTCTTCTAGGCACATACATGCAATCCAACAGCACCAGGGACTCCTCGCTGTTCTCTCCTTTGTGCTGTTCACTGGCAGCATGTTAGCCTGGGTGCATTCCTGAGCTCATCCACTGGTGTCCACAATAAAGCCATGCAGCACAAGCATCTTTCGACTTGTGTAAACTTCACTAAGGATTTGAGATCAGGAACATAGATGTGCCATACTCGACTCCGTTGCTCTCTTCTCTCCCCCCACCAGTGAAAATTAAAAGCTAATTTTCCCAAACCTCATTTTTTCTCTAGCATAGTAACTGCTTCATTTCTTTATCGAGGGCATGTACCATGATATATAATGGTATATTCAGCTTGGAATTATACATTCAATGCTGATTCACCCTTCAAGAACCGGGGTCTGCAAACTACAGCCCATAATCCAAATGCATCCCACTGCCTGATTTTGTAATGAAGTTTTCCTACAACACATTCATGTGGTCTCTATGACTCTTCTACACTACAAGAGCAGAGTTGAGTGTTGCAGCAGAATTTCTGCATCCTTAAAAGCCTCAAAGGCTTACAGAAAAGTGTGCCAACCTCTCTCCTACCCACTGTATCACCAGCCTCTATAGCATAGGCCCGGCTTGTTCCAGATGCCTGTCATAAATTGCCATCTGCAGTCATAAGTTTCAAGAATTAAAATATCTTGCTTATAGGTCTTGTGTCATTTTCGATCCTGTGAAATATTAAACACAAGGACTGGAATTAGCCATTCAATGAATCTATTTAGAAAAACGTTTCAGCACAGCAAACTTGAATAGTTTCATGCACAGCATGTCACCAAAGACCAATTCCTATGGGTCCTTGCTGATGTCACTTCTTGACCTCAATATTTAAAGAGAGACATATTTATATACACAACCATTTAGCTGAATGCCATTTCCTGTTATGTAATCATCATGAAGTGTTTACACCAAAACAAGTGAATGATAGGTTGGTGTTAACCAGTATTAATCTTGGTAGTGTTGATATTTTTAACTGCTCCCCGCCCCCCAATGTGATGGTCTGCTCACTCCTTGGGAAGAGGGCCTCTCTCCTCCTCCAGAGAGTAGATGGGCCACCACCGTACCATCCAGCGGGCTTTCCAAGTAGCCCAGGAAGGCAGAAGAACCAGAAGCATCCTGTGGCCTTCTGTTATGTCACTCACTCTATCTTTCCTATTCATATGCTATTTCTCCTCTTAGTATACTCTCTTTTACCATATGTTAATTTTCCCAGTAATGAACTTATATTATTTTTCCCTCTTTTTGCTTATTAAGGTATTAAATTCACAACTTTTAAAAGTACAGCTTGAGGGCTGGGGTTGTGGCTCAGTGGTAGACTGCTTGCCTAGCCTGTAGGAGGCACTGGGTTCAATTCTCAGCACCACATTTAAAAAAAAAAAGAAAGAAAAAAAGATCTATCAGCAACTGAAAAAATACATTTAAAAAAAATACAGCTTGACATATTGGGAAATGGGCTACCATCATGCCACCATCCTAGAGTGAAGACCCAGCAGAATTCCCTGACTGACTTGCTCCTTTTCCCCTTGGTATTTGGTGTCTGTCCTCCCTTTCCTGTGACCTCAAGCAACCACTGCTCTGCTTTTTCTGGGGACACTTTGGCCTTTTCGAGAATTTCATGTAATGGGAATCAGACAGTACATAATATGTTGTGTTTGACTTTCTCATTTAGAATAAATGATTTAAAGCCTTAAGTATCTTGTCCTGGGTACAAACAGGCCACTCCTACTTCATTACTGATCAGGATTCCCCGATATAAAATTTGCTCACCCATTCATCATTGAGTGATGGCATCGGGCTTCTATCCCGTGTAGGGCTGTTGTAACAATGCTCAACACTGTGGTGTGATCAGGTTGTATGCTTCTCTTGAATAAACAAGTAAAAGTGGAGTTTCTGAGTCACATGATGAATGCACATTTACCTGATTCGGGCATTGACTCCCTCCCACAGTGGCCAGAGCGTTTTGCATTCCACCAGCATTCCACCAGAGAAGAGCCTTTGTCCAATTCTCATCAGTCGTTGTATTGTCAGTCACTTTTACTGCAGCCAAGGTAGACACATGAAGTCATGTCTCATTTTGTGATTTTACTTTGCATTTTGGTGATGACTGGTGGTGTAATTTGTATATATATTCTTTTGTGGACTACCTCACCAAGTCTCGTGCCTAGGTTGTTCCTATCGTTTTTTTTTTTTTTTTTTAACCTATGTTGACTTTTTATTTTGTTATGATTGTTCTTCATATATTCTAAATAGAAGCACTTTGTGGAATACGTATTTGGCAAAAATTCCCCCCTGGTCTATGACGTTCTTTCATGTTCACCATATCTTTCAAAGAGCAATCATTTTTAATCTTGATGAAATGTATTAAGTCAATATTTCTCTTAGATTTTCTGTTTTGATGCTTTTTCCCAACAAATCTTTACTTAAGTCAACACTACAAAAATTTTTTTCCTTATGCTATCTTCTAGAATATAGTTTCAGCTTTTACATTGAAGTCTATGATAATCAATTTGGTTAATATTTCTGCACTTTTGTGAAGTAGGGTTTGAAATTAATTTTTTTTCTCAAATAGTTATTCAGTGAGTCGAGCACTGTTAATAGAAAGAACTTTTTTTTTTCCCAATTGAATTACTTACCTTGATACCTTTGTCAAAAATCAATTGATCATATGAACCGGGGGTCTATTTTTGGACTAGTCTTCTCTGATCCATTGATCTATGTATCTATCCTCACAGCAATACACCTCTACAGTTTCGGCTGATGTTCAGCTTTCATTCTCAAAAGAATAAGATTGCTTGCCTTTAACAACTGCTCCAGATTCTATGTCAGTCTCAGGTTTTTGTGAACACTTGCATCTCATCGGTCTTTCTTCAGACAAACAGGGAACAAAGGAGCTGGAATAAAGGTATCATCCATAGGTGTACAGGGCAGAGTCAAGGTCACTTCAACACTTTGAAGCAGCAGTCAAGACAGCCACAGTTCTTTAACCTGTGGGTTGCACTCAGCTTCCAGTGAGCAACAGTAGGCAGAACACTACTTAGGGTAAAAAACGAGGCTTACAGCTACACTGAGGTTAGAGCCAAGATCCATTCTGGGCTACAGTGGTCAGGCCTACAGACTCATAAACAGACTTTTAGCATAAAGTTCAATTTCAGTTCAAACTGGATGAGCATCTAACAGTAGAAAACCTTCCCGGGGTTCCCTGAGAACTTAGCAATGATGATGGTATATCAACAAACAGATTGAATGTTCTGAAATGCTTACTCTATGACAGGTACTATACTAATAAGCACTTTATTTTTACCAAAGATTAAAATAAAAATCTCCATTCATAAATGAGATTAAGAAAAAATACTGTAAGGAACTTATCTAAGATCACACAACTAAAAAAATGCTAGTGCTCACTTTGTAAAGGAGCTGACCATAATCAAGTGCATGGTAAAATGGTAAGGTCTTAATGGTTAGCAGTCACTTCCTCCAACTCTTTGACAATATATGACTTTAGCAAATGATCATGGGACACCCTTTGGGTGACAGATACTGATTGATACTCTCGCATGCATCCTATCGCTGAATATTTACATGTGAGTTTGATATTAAATCCACCACCCACAATTGTAAATAGGGAAATGATGTGAACATACCATAAGTTGTTTGAGTTTGTATGTCAATTTGGGAGGAAGGGGCTTTACAAAACACTGGGAAAAGGATAGGAGTAGAATCCTACCCATTAACAGGATTGGAAAAAGCCAGTCGCTAGATTGCTGCACAGGCAGAAGTCATTTCAGCTCTATTTCTTAAAATTAAGCTGTGTTTTGAGACCATCCTATGTTCCTAGCAGATGTGAGAAATGACACAAAAGGGCCCATGCACCCTTTACTCAATTTCCCCCAATGGTGACCTCGCAAAACTTTAGCTTCACCATCAGGATACTGATGTTGATGCAGTCATAATAGGGAACAGCCCATCCCCAAAGGACCCTTGACACACACTTTGATAGCTGTCCTCCTGCCCCATCATTTTCCAAGGCCCTGCCCATCATTAATCTGTTCTCCATTTCTATCATTGTGTCAGCTCAGCTAGGGTATATAAATAGAATCATGCAGTATCTAACCTTCTGGAATTATCTTCTTTCACTCAGCATAATATTCTGAAGATTCATCCAGGTTGATATTTATATCTATAGTATGTTCCCTTTACATTGCTTACTAATATGACTCGATAAAGATACTCGGGTTTAGCCATTCACCCAGTAAGGATTATATCAAATGATTCAAGTATTTGGAGATCATATGTAAGTACGCAATTTACATATATGTAAAGGTATTCTGTCTCCAGATAAGTCACCCTTTCATTAGAATAAATCCCCAGAGCTGTGATTTCTGGGTTGTATGATAGTTGCATATTTACATTATTTTCTTAATGGTCCATCTGTTTCCCAGAGTAGGAACACTCTTTTGCATTGCCAGTAGTGAGATAAGAAGGATCCAAGGTCTCCACATCTCCACTAGCATTTGGTCTTATAATTATTTTTTTTTAATTTAGCCATTTTAAAGGGCATGTAATATATACTATTTTAAAGATATATTGATGAGGTTGTAGTTTTTATTTCTCTGAGGGCCAGTTGCATTGAGTATATCTCCATATACTTATTTGGGATCTGTTTATCTCTGTGGTGAAATGTCATTCTATGTCTTTAGTCCATTTTCTAATTGAATTGTTTATTTTTCACTGTTGAGTTTTGAGAGCCATTTACATACCCAATGTTCCAGTTCTTTGTAAGAAATATGGTTTGCAAATATCTTCTCCCACTCAGTAGCTCGCCTGTTCACTCCCTTCCTGGAGCCTTTCATTGACAAAAAGTTTTCATTCTAATGATGTCAGTTTTATTGGGTTTTCTATCTGGATCATGCTTCTGGTGCCAAGCCTTGGAACTCCTGGTTACACCCTAGATCTGGGCATTGCTTTTCTTTTACATTCTTTGATGACCTTGATGCAAATTCAATTTTATTGTTCTTCTCAAATAATTAGATCTTCACTTTGTAGATTCTTCTCTATTTTTTTGTTTTATATTAAACTGAGTTCTACTCTAGTCTCCATTTCCTTCCTTCTTCTTACTTTAACTTTATTTTATTATTCCAAGATTATTGCCTTGAGACTTTTCATCTTTTCTAATGAGAGTATTTAGTGCTAGAAATTTCCCCCCTCAGCTACTGCTGTAGCTGCATTCTAAAAATTTTGACATATTTTCATTTTTTGTTGAGTTTAATGGCTTTTTAAAATTTTTCCCTAAGACTTCTTTGTCCTGTGAATTGATTCCTTAGTTTCCAAGTCTTTGAAGATTGTCCTATTTTTCTGCTGCTGTTTTCTAGTGGTGTTTAGAGAACATGCCTGCGAGATTTTAGTTCTTTTCCGTTTGTTAGGGTTTATCAAATGGCCCACAACATGGCCCGTCCTGTACGTGCTCCACTGGTCCTTGTCAACTCTATTTTTAATCAGTGTTCAAAATAACAAAGTCCATGATTGATGATTCTCGGTTCTTGGTTTGTGGCAGATTGTGCCTTTTTCTGGGCCTACCTGATCCAGAACTCCTCTACTACCTGTAATACCAATGTCCCAAGAGTTGACATTCTCACTCTGTTGTTTCTCTGCATTTTAAATAGACTCTAAATGAGCCTCTGCCTCCCTGAGCTTTCTGACATAGCTGTCAGGAATCCACCTGAGTGTAAGATGGTATTTTGGATGAGGAGTGCTCCATTTACAAAGTCCTATGGCCTTTGAATTGTCTGCTCCAAGCCCCATTATTCCTCATAAGCCTTGTTATTTTAGTTCATGATTTATAATGGTATTACTGATTTATCACAATTTAGTAAATTATCACTAAACACTAATACAGTCTCCACCCAGGTCAAAAAATAGAACATTGCCTACACTCCTTCCCAAAGGTAACTATTACCTGATCTCTAAAACGTGGAAGTATAGGGGCTGAAACTGTAGTTCAGAGGTTAAGTATACACTTGTGGCATGTGAGAGATCCTGGCTCCAATTCCCAGCACCAATCAACAAACAAATAAAAAAATAATAATTCCAAACATTTCGGTTCCTTTCAATATGATTTGAGAGAGGTATGTGTGTTACACATAGCTGTGGTCTGTTCATTTTGCTGCACTGGTATTCCATTGTAAGAACATACCATATATATTGTTTCATTGATGGGCATTTGGTTTACATCCAGTCTGGGCCATGATGAATAGAGCTGCTATGAACATTCTTCTACCAGTCTCCTGGTGCACATGTGTACATATTTCTATTAGGAATATACTCAGGAATGGACATTTTGGGGTCATGGGCTAGGGGTGTTTGTAACATATGTTGTTACGCTATTTTCCAAAGTCATTCTACTCATTAATATTCCTATTAGCTGGGTAGGGAGACCTCATTGCCCCACAATTCCACCAAGACTTAGTATTTCAATATTTTAAAGTTAATCTTTACGATAAATATATACTGGTAACTTATGTTGATTTTAAATTTACATTTCCCTAATGTCTAATTGTGAACACATTTACATATGTTTATTGGCCATCTGGATAGCCTCTTATATAGATATCTTTTTTAAAAAAAATTGTTGATATTTTCCTAATTGTTGAGCATGAACCCATCATGTATTTCTTATAAATATGTATTGCACATATTTTCTCCCATCCATGATTAGACATCTCATGATTATTCTTGTATACAAAATTGTTAATTTTAAAGTTTTCTAATTTTGTGAGTGTATGTGTGTGTGTGTGTGTGTGTGTGTGTGTGTGTGTGTGGTGCTGGGGATTGAACACAAGGTTTGTGTATTCAAGGCAAACACTCTACCAACTGAGCTATATCCCAGCCCCAAACTTTTCTAATTTGTCATGCTTATTATTATTATTTTATGTTCTATTTAACAAGTTTTTAACTTTTCAAATATCATAAAAATATGACCCATATAATTTTCTGGAATCTTCACTATTTTATCTTTCTTATTTATTTCACCAATCCACCTGACAGATTTTTTTTTTCTGATATACAATTCAAGGTAGCAGTAAAGTTTACTTTTCTTTCAAGTGGATATCCTATTATATTAGCATGGTAAATTAAAAAATCATTTCCCACTGCTCTTAGTGTCAGTTGTACCTTTTTATAAAGATTGTTCCTGGACTCCCAAGTGCATCTCATTGGTCTATTTGTATAACTTTATTCTATGCTATATACAATTACTCTAGCTTCATAGCAAATTTTAGTATCCTATAGAATAAGCTTTTCTACCTTCTTCTTCTCTTTAACATTAATATAAAAAGTGATCATCAGTAGTACTTTTTTGAGATTGAGAGAGATTTCACTAAATTATTTTTATTAAATGTGTAGACTTGTTTAGGAAGAACTGAGTAATTTAAATTATCATCTACCAATCCACAAAGATGGGATAGCCCCTAAATGATGTGAGGATATAGCAAGAAAGTACCATCTTTGAAGCAGAGATTTTGCTATAACCAGACACTGAATCTGTGGAAATCTGGATCTTGGGCTCTCAGCCTCTAGAACTACCACCCAATTTATGGTAGTTTGTCATGGTATCCCAAGGGGACAAAAAAGGTACTGCTAAAAAAAAATAAAAATAATAAAACCTTATACAAAGACCATGAGGACTATGATAATTTTGTTTTCTCCAGAACATATGTATATTTATTTTATCAGGCAGCAAAGTGACCAGAAATCAGGAACCCTTTGATCCAAATTAAATTATTTTGTCACTTTTAAGACCTGTATTCTATAGTCCAAGCAATGATGGCTTCCAGGTATTTTACTCATTTACATGCCAGGGACTACAGTATTTGTCTTCTTCACTGCACATGGCTATCAAAAGTATTTCTTAGCTTCTTAGAATTGCACTTGCCTCTTCCAGAGTCACCAGAAAACTGTAGAGGTTAAGTGACCTCAAGTGACAGCCCCCGGTTGTTTGGATTTCCTGGATATTGGATTCATAATTCTTCATGCCTTAATAGCTCCCTAAAACTTTCAAGGAAAGATACTAATGAAAAATTTTGTCCAATTTGTCTAGTTACTCTCAACATGAAGTTTGACACAAATTACTAGAATTAGTTTGCCCTTTTTAACTGAGAGATTGTGTCTGTCTTTAAGCCATGATTCAGCTACTTCTGAAATATTTAACTTTCAGCCATTCCTGGATTCTCTGCTAATTGAAGCTTCCATTAACACCTGTGGGAACTTATCAGTCATGTTTCCTATTTTGTCTTTTTCATTTCTTGATCTCTCTCTGTACTGCATTTTGCATGAATTATTCACTACTATCTTCTTATTCACTAATTGTATCTTTGCTCTTGTATTCACTCTTTCTATGAAATGAAATTTTTATTTATTTATTTTTCTCACCCAGAATTGATTTGGGGCCATTAAAATTTATCCTTTTGTAAGTATCTTGATAATATGTATTCTTGGTATGATGTGATGAAAGTGGCACTGTAGCTCTGTGCTTTTCCTCCTCAAAATATGTCACACCTTGTTCTAATCACTCTCTCTCTCAAAGGCTCTACAAACTCCCAATAGCATCACCATATGGACCAAGTCTTCACAGTTGACCTTTGGGTGACATAATTAAATAATTAAAGCATACCCAAATCACAGCATCATATCCCTGATTTACAAGGATTCATGTCCATCTCCTAAAGCAAATGCACTAATTCCATCTCAAGAGTCCCAAACTCTTGACTGTTCTAGCATTGCTCAAAAGTCCAACTCCAAAGTTTCGTGTGAGATGCAAGTCAAATCCTCAGCTTTGAGCCCCTTTAAAAATAAAACATCAAGTTACCTACTATATGGTTTGGGATGAGATACTCCCCCAAGTCTCACCAGTAAGTCAATGCAAGAATGTTCAGAGGTGAAATGACTAGATTTTGAAAGCTATAACCTAATCAGTGAATTAACTCACTGATACGAATTAACTTGATGGTAACTGTAGGCAGGGCGTGGCTACACCTGGGTAGTGCCTTTGGGGTTTACATTTTGTTCCTGGTGTGCGGGAGCTCTCTCTGTTTCCTAGTTGTCATATCCTGAGCTGCTTTCTCGACCCTGGCCTCCCACCATGTTGTTTTGCAGCTTCTCAGGCCTAGAGCTATGGAGTCGGCCAACCATGGACTGAACCTCAGCAACTAAAATAAACATTCTACCTCCAAATTGTTCTTGTCAGATATTTTGGTCATGGTGATGCAAAAAGCCAACTGAAACACCTACTTCCAAGGTGCAATGTTGGGACAGGTACAGGAAAAACATTCTTATCCCAAAGGGGAGGGGAGGGAAAGAGGAAGGAAGAATTAGTTCGAAACAAGATTGGAATCTAGCCAGGATATCATTAAGTGCTTAAGCTTCGTGCCCAGAATCTGGGCACACTGTGGCAAAGGATGAGCCCTCAAATTTTGGAAAGCACCTTTGGTCATGGCTCCTCTAGTGACCCTCTGAGGCTGGTTTTGCACACCGACGGCAGTTTTCCCTGGTGAGCATTGCCTGTCGCTGACACCTCTACCATCTTGGGACCTCCACTGCAGCTTCCTACCCACAGATGCACTATGTCATACTCCACTGGGGCCTCCCTGATGGCTCTTCGACCCTGCAGTACATTGTCTGGCCTCCCGGGCTGTCCCCTGAAGTCTGAAGTTTCAGGGTAAACCGCCTCGGCTCCCGTAAACCAATTCCAAACTCGCATTCTGCTCACTTGGTAAACCAGCAGCACACGACGACACTAAGGCCAGCCACGGCATGAGCTGCACCAGGGCCAGCTTCCCCCATGGCTGTGGCCAGGAAGGGTTTGGCAGTTAAATCTGGGGAGAAAATGTCTTGGGTAATTTTGCAGCTCTTTCCTGAAACATATCTTCCCTAGAAGTTTTTTAAAACAAACTTGTACTCCTAGGCCTCTGATGGTGCTGTGAGAGAGGTGGCTCCCAAGGCTTCTGAGATGTCCTCGGGGCATTTTTTCTATTGTCCCCAAGCTGAGCACTTGGCCTCTTTTGATCAGCCTTAATCTGCTTAGCAACCATTTTCTCCTTGGCTGTGCTCCTTTTTTTGGCCAGGCAAAAAATTTTTCAAATCTTTTCATTATCCTCTTTTGGCTCCTGATTTTCACTGTAAAACAGACTTAAAGTAGCCAGCAATACCCATGCCACAATGAGCTGCTGTTTTGAAAACTCCTCCACCAAATAAATCAGTTTGTCATTCCCAGCGTCTGCCTTCCACAACGTCTTCAGACATGGACACACTGCAGTCATGTTCTTGGCCATCGTGTAAAACGAGTGGCCTTTCACCCAAACCCCAGTAAAATCCTCACTTCCATCTGAGACGCATCAGCATGTTTTTATTAGCATTCTGACCTAAGCCCCGATCCCAAGTAGAATCACCTAGAACACTCTGCCAGCTGCATTCTGGGTCTTTCTCTAGCCTGTTCCTCTCCTTCCATAAACCAATTCCAAAGGCTCCTCCACATCTTTAGGTATACTTATAGTAAAGATACCATTCCTTAGAAACAGTTTTCTCTGTTAGCTTTGCATTAGTACAAAAAAAAAAAAACTTTAAAGAACTTACTATATAAGGAGAAAAGATGGATTCAGCTCCCAGCTTTGAAGGATCAAAGTTCAAGAAGAGGCCGTCCCATTGGTTTGGCTTCTATTGAGAGCAGCAGATATTGGCACATCAAGTCAGGAACCCATATCTAAAAATGGAACAGAGAGAAAATGAGAGGCTGAGGGCCCATAATCCCCTTCAAGGGTACAATTTCAATGCCCTAATGACCTCCCAAAGATTCTACTATCTCCAACATCACCACCACGTGGATCACAAGCCTTCAACCACGATGGGTCCTTCGGAGACACTGATGATTGAAGCACACCCAGACCCTAGCAAGACATATGGGGACTCTGTACTTTCTTCCAATAATATGTAAAACTCTTCAAAAATAGTTTATTGACACAAGACATTCCGTCCCCCCAAATTGTTGTGTTCTTGGTTCATATCTGCCTGTGTTGATTTTGTAATTTCTTGTTCTTTATTTATAGATAATATGTTTTCCCTTATTGTTTTGATGATTTAATACTTATGATTCTTTTTGGAAGATGACTCTATTAGAGTTCCTCAACCCAAAATTCTTCTGCTCTTGGAGTTTGTAGGCTCTTTCCTGATGATTGCTTTGATCATATAGTTTAAAATGTTTGTTTTCAGATTCATCTTGAGAAAGGTTTTGGTTTCTTCTTTCAGTCTTCTGATGCTTCTGAATCTGGTGGTTTGATAGTTGCTATTTCCTGCAGTACTGGATTTGTCAGTCCAGATACAAGTTTTATTTTGGCACCTCCGGTCTCTTGTCATATGAAGCATTCAGAGGTGGATTTTCTAAGCCAGAAGTTGGTTGGCTCAGATCCCAGTTCTGGTAGAATGACACAAGTAACCTGTAGTGACCTTGCTCAGAGGGACCCAAGGGTTGGAACATACAGTCCATGTCTTGCTCTTGTCACCAACTCACATACTCTTGTCCTCACCTGCACTTCCTGCCAGAGCTTGGTGAATAATTCTGCGTAGGTTTTCACCTGCCGAGAGTGCTGCAGACCTCGGTATTGCTGTTCTTCCCTCTTGTTCCCGACTCCCACCCAGGTCTTCTTTGCTCCTGTGACTGGAGGCAATGATTAATTGCTTCTCCTTTTCATCTTTTGGTGGAAAATGCTGAGACATCTGCTGTTTCTTCCCAGAACCAAGATTAAACACCCCCTGTTCCCTACAGTAGCCAACCTGGCAATAGACTCTTACACACTGACCTTGTTTCCTCCCTTATTTTACTCTCCACAGCCCTTCCCTCCTGCTTCCTATTATCGTTTCTAAAATAAACTACCTGCCCATGAACCCTATTTTTGGACCCTGTTTTGGAAGAATTCAGGACAAGACATGTTCTGATGGCACTGAAAGCAATAGGAAGTCAGATGATTAGGGTGGCCAGGATGGAGTCCATAACAGCTTCTTCTGTCACAGAGCAGGGCAAGGGCTGTTGAGAATGAATCTGGAGGGACCAATGGAAAATGTTGGAGCATTCCCCCAGAGACTGTTACCTCCAATCTTGGGACTGAATAACGCACATGACTGTTCTTCTAGACAGTACAAATCCTACTGACATTCTTATTTGGTGACATAAAGACCGCTATAAGAAAGATATGCCCACTCAGCTCATATAGAAAGAGCTTTCCAGCTGAATGAAGTTGTTTGAAATTGGAATAAGTAGCTGGCGGAGTAGAGTGAAGGTCCAAGGTCACCTCTGAGCAGTGATATTATCAAGTGCCCTAAAGAATCATAAAGGAGTGTCACGTGGTCCTTAAAGGCCCTTCCAATCCTAAGTCAGAGTGTCAGGGTCTAGTAGTGAAACGGAAACACCCTCTCTCCGTGAGGTCCCGTGGGGTGATGGAGATGCGCTGCAATTTTAGGGAAGGAACGTGTTTCCCAACTAGAGACAGAAGTTTCTTCAACCAAAAGGAAGGTCCACCAGGCACCGATGGAGAAATAGAAGTGTCCAGACAGAGCCATGGTGTTTAGGGGAGGGGTGGGATGAGGAGAGGTTTTTAATCTGAATTCTTCAAAACTACGTGCTAATGTGAATAGAGATGCAACATGGAGAAACTCAAAACAGAATTTGACCCTTGGTTTTGGCTCTCCAAAGAGTAAAACCTAAACAGAGCCTTTGTTCTGTCCTTGGCACACTGTTCCCTAGGTGGCAGTGGGCCATTCTGGGAAGACATATGACACCCTCGGGGAAACTGGCCTTGGGACAAGGGGGACCAGCCCGGGAGGAGGAACAGAGCAGGGCTGTGTTCCCTCCCAGGGGGAGGCTGCTCCCTGGCACCCAGATCCCCTGACCACACGAAGGTCTTTGGAAAGAGAAGGAGCTGCTGTTCTGGGGTGTGGGTGGACTCCCTTGTGTGCAAGGTAGTTGTGAGGAATGGTCTCCTCTTCAATATCACATGATGGTGTCCATTTCATTTTGTGTAGTGGCATCATTTTGTAAGAAGTCAAATAAGTATGAGGACGGTATACCCACTCGCGGCCAGAGGCCCGGGTTGAACCTCAGTGTCAAGAATCCTGACATCTGTTCTGCTCAGAGTCACATTGGGTCCTCAGAGCAACCCCCTAAGGCAGGACCACTGTCAACCCCATTCCATAGACGTGTCAAGTGAGATGCAAAGAGATGAGACCCTGGTCGGTGTCAGATTTGAGACAAAATCATAAGCCTGTCGGACCTTGATCACTGTGCTTTGGCAACTGAAAGACCTCAGCAAATTCCCTTTCTCCTCTGAGGACCATTTCCAAATATTCAAAACATTCTACTAATGCTCAGAGGGTTAAAGAGAGGCAACAGCCATTTCTTATTGTCCATCATTTTTGGTTCTGTTTCTCCCAAGAAGCTCGAGTAGCACAAGACATTTTATATTTTTGAAGGCAGTTATGCTGAATTAAAAAAAAAAGAATTATTCACTACAAAAGTAGCATTCAGATAGTTTTAAAAGGGGGGAAATAATAACCCCACTCTTCAAATCAACTATTGTTTATATTTTGTTGCATTTCTTTCCAACATTTCACTTCACATACCATAGTTGCTATTTTTCAAAGGTGTAATTATGCCGTATCTAATTTTGTATCATCGTTTTTCACGTTAAATTATAGACATTTCTCATTGTTAATTTAGACTTCATAACTATCATTTTTAATACTTGCATGAGAGCAAATGTGCCATAATTGACTTAAACACCCCCTGCATGCTGCAAACCAAATTTGTTTCCATTTTTCATTATTATAGTAATAAGCATCTGCCTGCATACAGGATTCCACATATTTAGAATTATTTCCTTAGGACATATTGCCCAAAGTGGAATAATTGTATCAAACTGTTCAGACTTACTTATGGCTCTTGCTACACACTTCCAGTTTTCTAGAAAAGTCTTCCCAACTTACATTCCCCCCAGCAGAATATGAGAGTAAAGTTTGCACACACATCAAAGAGCACCGTGAATCTAGAATTATTTTTTTAAGTTATATGATGAAATGAAAAACCGAATATTAATTTAATTTGCATTTCCTCGGTTATTATTGGGCAATGGGTTCTTTTCTGTACTCTCTGTTGTCATTCATCTGTCAGATACACTTGGACATGAACCACAAGCAGTCAAATATTATAGTTTTACATATCTTAATATTTTGAAGGACTAGTCATAGCAATACATCTTTTGAAAAAAATTTTAATTGTATATTCTTCTTACATTTCCGTGTGAATTTTGGAATCACTTGAATCATTTTGTTAATTTTCTAAAGAAAAAGAATTATTCACTACAAAAGTAGCATTCAGATAGTTTTAAAAGGGGGGAAATAATACCAGGATAGGGGTACTGGCTGTTGAAGAACAATGGCTACTACTCCAAAAGATTTCCTCACATTGCGTTTTGGGGCACAAAAATCATTGCATGCCCAGGTTTATATAGTTACTGAATCTTGTGCCTTTAGGATTTTGATGGGACATGTATTTTATAAATAAATCAGATTTTCTTATCCATGCCCAGTAAGTAAGTCATCTTCCAGGATAAAGTCACACCACCAAATGCATTAGCTTCTGGCTTCTGGAAGTTTTCAAAAACCTTGTGGTCTTTATTTCTGGCATTCTCACTACATCCTGAGATTTTCTGTTCCAACTAACAGAACACCCAGAACACCCTAAAATGAAGGGTCCTAAACCTTGAGCCCTTGGTAACAGGAGAGTCTCCCCAAAGCAGGACTCTCCTGGCTTGGTCTACCAGCTCCATGCTGTCTACCAGGCTCTGCATTTTTCTGTTGACCCATCTGACAGAGAGTGTCGAGCAGACATCTGCTTCAGCCCTGACCAGGCCATCATGTTAGGCTCTCCTAAGTCCCAGAGCTATGCAAGGCAGTTCCTCCTTCAAATGGTGTTCTGTCCTGTTGTTTTGTTGGTAGACTTCCCCACACAACCCACTGGGCAGGCTCTCGTCATAAGACCATGCCTTCTCCAAGCAGAGGTGAGGGGAAAGAATTGCTGATTGGCTTTGGCAAAGCAACAGTTACGTTTGGGGGCCTGGAATGGCAACCTTCACTGAATAACAAGAAGATGGACAAATAAACAATACAATCTGAGAAAGAAGGAGCCAGGATAGGGGTACTGGCTGTTGAAGAACAATGGCTACTACTCCAAAAGATTTCCTCAAATTGCGTTTTGGGGCACAAAAATCATTGCATGCCCAGGTTTATATAGTTATTGAATCTTGTGCTATTTGAGAGACTGTCTTTTTATAAAATAATACAAAATAGCTAATATTAAATTTAACATGAAAGAATATTTAAAGTGAAAAGGTACATCAAATTACCTATTTTAGAAATCTAACAAATTACCATAAATATCACAATTAGAAAAATAGCATAATGTTTGAGATATCATCTCTACCTACATATAATATATATTTCAATTAGTATGACCAAGTTATGTTTTAGATATGGTGTCCCTCAAAAGCTCATGTGTGAGCAATGCAATTAAGTTCAGAGGTGAAATGATTTGGTTATAAAAGTCTTAATCTGATCAGGGCAGTAATCCCCTGGCAGAGATCACCTGGGTAGTAACTGCAAGCATGTAGGCTGTGACGGGAGGAGACAGGTCACTGAGGTGGGCCTTTGGTGTTT